AATCAGAGGATTCAGCATGGGAGTCACAAGGGTGTAGAATAGTGAGGTCATTTTGTCTTCATCTAGAGAGTAGGCAGAACTTGGTCGGAAATTCATGAAGAGCAAAGTGCCCTGGAAAATTATAACTACAGTTAAGTGGGAGGCACAGGTGGAGAAAGCCTTGAGCCTCCCCTCAACAGAGCGGGTCTTTAAGACCGATGAGATGATGTAGCAATAAGAGACCAGGACTCCAGAAACTCAGTTCAATGAAAACTCAGTTCAATGAATCCAGAAATGGTGAACAGTACCAGCTCATTGACCTGTATGTCAGAACAGGAAAGGAGGAAAACTGGAGGTAAATCACAGAAGAAATGATTAATCTCATTAGACCCACAGAAACATAAGTGGAATGTTAATGTCGTGTGTATCAAAGCATCTGTCAGTCCTATTAGGTAAACTCCAGCCATGAGCAGTGAACACACCTTAGTGGACATGTCTGCTGCATAGCGCAAGGGGTTGCTGATGGCTTTGTACCTATCAAAGGCCATCACTGCCAGCAGCAGACACTCAGAATCAGCAAAGATACAGAAGATCAAGAACTGCAGAGCACATGCAAAGAACGGAATTGATTTGTTCTTGGCAAATATGTCCACCAGCATCTTGGGTCCAACTGCTGTGGAATAGCAGAGGTCACAGAAAGAGAGGTGGCTGAGGAAAAAGTACATTGGTGTGTGAAGGTGGGGATCCACTCTGATTAAGAAGATTATCCCAAGGTTTGCCAGAAGATTAATGAGGTAAATCAGGAGAAAGATTATGAAAAGGGCCACTTTGAGTTCAGCATTACTAGTAATTCCCAAGAAAATGAATTCATTCAAGGATGAACAATTTTTCCTGTCCATTCTTCTCCTCTCTTGTCTAAATGCTCAAAACATAATAAATATATATTTGATTCATTTTTTCTTCCAGAATATAATAGGACAGAACATATTTTATAATAGTATTTTTTTTATCCTAAAAAATCAAGTCATGTGTTCTCCTCTACAAAAATACATTGTATTCTTTTTTTTATTTTTTTAAATTTTTGATTGTTGATGAATCTTTATTTTATTCATTTATTTGTATGCAGTGCTGAGAATAATACTCAGTGCCTCACAAATGCTAGGCAAGCACTCTACCACTGAGCCACAGCCCCAACCCCTATTGTGTGCTTTTGACAAAAGACATGAATAGATAGCTGAAGAGAAATTGTGTAATTCATGAGGTACATGACTTTCTACACATTTATATCTCTGGAACTTTCAGTAAGTCTTTAAAATAATATTTAATAAACAAAGTCTTAGATTTCTTAGACAGTGATATAAAGGATTAAGTATTTGCTATGTTTGAAAACATCCATCTAGATGTAAAAAATAAAATGCATTTTTTTCAATATCAATACTTGTGATTGGTTTTAAAGACCGCTGTGTGAGTTGTAGAAACAATGAGTACTATGTTTGGTCTATGTGATCTTTTATATTTGATGACACACAATATAAGTGTTCTCTTTTTTTCTTTCCAAAAAATATATCGGTTTGACATAAGGCTCACTGGCTATTTGTAAATATCTTCTTAACAGAGAGGGTTAGTTTTCCTGAACATTGAAATAATAATGGTCAAACAGAAATTATAAACCTCTCATAATTTAACACATAATCTTTTATTATATCATATAATACATATACAATATATATTTTTAGAAGTACATATTTATTTAGAAAGTGAAAACAGAATGAGGGCCAATTAATCGTCCATACATATATAAATTTCCTTTTTTTAAGTGTGTGTATATTTATTAATATTTAATCTTTGTGCATGTGTGTATGATTCTTAATTTTACTAAGATAAGGTGAGAATGCATATGTGTATATTTTTATTTGTATGCTTTCTTATTACTATGGTGCTTCTACAATCAGTTAAATCATCCTACAAATTTAAAAAAAAAACCTTACATTCTTATATATCCCTAGTCAATGATAAAATAAGTAAAGGCTTGGTCATCATCCTAAATATAAATAAAATAATGTTATTTTGTGAATACTATCATGTTCACTTAGAGTTTTCCAGTTCTGAAGCGAATACAGTATTTTTGATCATTAGACTTTTAGAATTCATAAAACTACATTAGAAGGTATAACTTGATTCATTTACAAAATTCCCAATTGTTTTCTAAAGTGATATATATCTTTTTTAATCTTGCAGTTTTAAATCTAGAAACTCAGGAGCTTACCTGAGATGAGTCATTCATTGGTAACCAAGCACTGAGCAGATACCATTGTATTTTAACAGGCAGCATTTGGGACTTAAACTCTCTGAAGCTACTTCCCTCAGGTTTTGAAATCATGCAAACATGTAATTACATTTCTGGTTCTGTGTTGTACCCTGAGAATACATGAACATCTTTAGTAAATGTTGAACTGAAATCAGAAGTCACTGAATATTGTCTGTAAGAATGAAAACTGCAAATTAGTTCTTCCTGTAGAAGAAATAGAATATGTGCATATTTTACATCATAAAATGCAATCTGTATTATCCTTGTCCAGCTGAGGCAGAATCAATGAAACTATTAGCCTCATGGTACTGTTCATAAGAAAGATAAACAAAGTATATGGGTAATTTGAGAATATGTGGCACAGACACAAACCTTTAGACCTGTTTTGGAAAGCCACATTCCCCCAGTTCTTATCCATGTGCTTGTTTCCTTTACTACACATTGATACAACCTGTCTTAGGGTACCACTTATGCCACTTTGAAAAGAATAGGTGCCTCCTGTGCTTCACTTATACTTTTAGAGTTCTCACCTGGGATATTTTATAATGACAGCTAGAAAAGGTACAATCTTTATGCCTTTAATCTTGTACAATTTTAATTGATAATTAAAAATTTCATAGAGTTGAACAATCCTTCTAACTTATTGCCATGTTCATAGTTTCTCAACCAGATTCTCTTAGTGTTTGGACATCATAAACTTGAGCACAGCCAGATGCAGTAGCTGAACTATCTTCTAAGTACTTAGAAGAATGCTCTCTATTGAATTTTCACATTTTTGTTTAATCACTAACTTATAATATATGACCACTTTATTTGTTTTTAAAGCTTAAAATATTTATTCAAAATATATTGCATATCCTCAATTCACTATAATTTTATATCTAATGAACACTCAAATGTTACTCCATGAATTCATCTGCTTGTTTTTCCATTCTGTGCCTCAGTCACAATGCTGTGAAAGAATCAAAATCATAAGCCATGCTGTCCTTCAGCAAAGAATGCTCACAATCTCTCATTGGAGTTGAAGATTTAATAAACAGCAATGGAAAGAATAATTATAAGAAATAATAATAAAGAGGAGACACAGACAAGGTGCAGGGGCAGGGAAATTGGCAAAGTAGCTTTTTGTCCAAGAGGCTACTTTTATTTATATCAATAGGTTACATTAGATCATTAGTACCATAAAACATTATTGTTTAGAGTATCAGTAATGTTACTTATTTTGAAGTTATATTTCATAGTTACAATGTACAATGTCAGGAGTTTATGGCAGTTCTCAAGAAAGTCTATTATCTAAAGTTACTGTTAGGTGGGCAGCTCTAGGAGCACCAGAGCTTGATGAAACATTGTAGTTATCTAGCAAACAAGTTTTTCTATTCCCAGGAGTTATGTCCCTGTAATCAAGGTCAACGCTTGATGAGGCTCTAAAACAGAGGTATCTCAGGGCATTGCCATACCAGCTAGACATAGCTCATATGTTAGCTATATTATTAGATCCTAAGAGAAATTACAGGACATTCTAAGGGTGGGAAACATGGTGCCTGTTCCCTCCCCGGGAGTTTTCTCACCAGAGGAACGCTTACCTGTACATTTCCAAATACAGAATCCCTACAAATAATATCTTTAGGAAAGTACTATTTGGGAATCACAAATGTACCCACTTAATTAGAACTGAAAAAGGGCATAAAGGAAGAAAAACTGAATGGATAAGATCGAGTTGAGAATTTCATTACAGGGTTGACTTTATTGATGTCCTTCATTAACAAATTTTCTTCATTTCATTTTATTGTTAAATGACATAAAATTGACAAATTGTTCGGGTATGGTGTGACATCAAGTCTCAGATAAAAAATGAAAAATGAAACTTTGAAAACACATAAGTCCAGTGAAATCTTTTCTTTCATTGATAGATAATGGTCTTTATAAAGTTAGTATTAAACTTTACAATCAGTACCATACAGAATTTTTTTTTTAGTTATTCAGACTATAACCTTTGTAGTCCTAAGTCATGTCAAAAGATCTTTATTCTCAAATGCATAGACATAGACATATGCCTAAAATTATTTTCTTGGGTAACTGGAAATGAGTGTGGATTTATCTGTTATTTAGTACATACTATTATATATATCAGAAAACATGAAGATGAAAAGAAGCATTAACACTTACACTTTTATAAACTTTATATACTGGTCTGGGATCATGGGAATTTTTATCAATAGATTGAACATAGTGAAATAAATTTTGACTCTTAGATATGGAATATTGCTCTTACAGTATCCCAGTTTTACAAATATTATAATAATAGCAGCCCACCCTGTGACTACTTAGAAATAACACATTTATTTATTATTTATTCTTAAAAGTTTTTACAAAAAAAGCATCAATTAAAAAAGGATCACAAATACATTACATAGTAATAAAAGGAAGGTGACTATCATTCATTATCTCAAAGAAGGTGATTATCATATGTATTATCTCAAAGACCCATGATTTATTTATTGTAAAATAGTCAAAATCTTTTATTCTGCTTATTTTGAAATGCACATGCATTATTACTGACTATAATAACCCTATCATTCAGTATAATACCAAATTTATTTCTCCTTTTATGCTCAAACAACAACTCAGAGGAAAACAAGCAAGGGCAAAAAAAGAACTTGAATAAATTGTTCAATTATAAAATTATGTATAATATGTATTTGTAAGGAATTTATTAAAATAAAATTTTATTTTTCAGCTTTTTTATGCTCACTTTCACATCTTTGTTCCGCAGGCTATAAATCAGAGGATTCAACATGGGAATCACAAGGGTGTAGAACAGTGAGCTCATTTTATCTTGATCCAGAGAGTAGGCAGAACTTGGTCGGAAATACATGAAGAGCATAGTGCCCTGAAAAATTACAACTACAGTTAAGTGGGAGGCACAGGTGGAGAAAGCCTTAAGCCTCCCCTCAGCAGAGCGGATCTTTAAGACAGATGAGATGATGTAGCCATAAGAGACAAGGACTCCAGAAATGGTACTCAGTTCAATGAAACCAAAGATGGTGAATATCACTAACTCATTGACCTGTGTGTCAGAGCAAGACAGTAACAGGAGAGGAGGGACGTCACAGAAGAAATGATTAATCTCCTTAGACCCACAGAAACATAAGCGGAATGTTAGTGTTGTGTGTATCAAAGCATCTGCCAGTCCCACAAGGTAAACTCCAGCCAGCAGTTGGGAGCGCACCCTGCTGGACATGTCTAGTGCATAGCTCAAGGGCCTGCTGATGGCTTTGTACCTGTCAAAGGCCATCACTGCAAGCAGCATGCACTCAGCGTCTGTAAAGGTACAAAAGATGAAGAACTGCAGAGCACAGCCAAGAAAGGGAATTGATTTCTTCTCGGCTAAAAGGTCCACCAGCATCTTGGGTCCAACTGCTGTGGAATAGCAGAGGTCAGAGAATGAGAGGTGGCTCAGGAAAATGTACATTGGAGTGTGAAGCTGGGAATCCACTCTAATTAAAATGATCATTCCAAGATTTGCAAGGAGAATAATGAGATAAACTACTAGAAATGCAGGAAATAGAACCACTTTTGTTTGAGTGTTATTGGTGATTCCCAAGAGAAAGAATTGACTTAATGTTGAACAATTTCCACTTTCCATTCTTCTGGTTCTTGTAATAATCTGCTGTAGACATCAATATGTAAATGATAAATTAGGAATCATTTTTATGCATACTTGCAAAATGTTATTTAGAGGCAGAACATGATTTCTTCCTGTACATCTCTTTCTTTAACCTCAAAAAATAGTCCATAGGGTCACTGATAAGAAACATTAACATATTTAAAATGAACGTCGAAGTGTCTAATGTAAGAACTTTATTAACTTTGCTTCCAAATTTATAAGCAGTTCCTGACTATATGACTTTAGACTTAAATAAAATAGGGATGGGCCATTGGCATACGCTGACATCTGTAATGTGTTGCCTCCATTAATATTTGAATAAAAGTAGAATAAACTTAAATTTACATGTACCACACCCCTTGCAGAAAGATTTTATAAAGGAGTGGATTTCTAAAATATGCATAATTAAAAGTTCTACAGGCCTATTCTATTGACAAATGAAGTTAGTCAAACACTTGAAAACACACAGGTCTATCAGGAAAACACCATTAGTTATTATACTGAGGGGTTTACTTACTTGAGTATGAAGGTATGAAAACAGTCACTTACACACCTGTCAGGACTTGATTCTTCATTGCTGAGTCAAGTCATGTTTTTCAATTACTCTTAAGCATAGCCACTCAGAGACATACCCAAGATGAGAAAGTCTGTCTGTCCTTATCTCTGGTGCCTGAATGATAAGTGGACCACATTTTATTTCCACATAGTGACTGTTGGGAGTTAAATCTCCTAAGCCACTGCCATCACTTCTTTGTGTTATTCAAATATAATTAATTAGATTCTTTTCTGAGTATTTTCTCCTGAGAATACTGAAACAACTTCAGCAGAGGCTGAACTTTTAATTCTTTGCCCTTGTCACAAAATTAATCAATGTCAGAAATGGACCAGGACTTATTTACCAGTCTGTTTCATGGCTCTCATAACCATACCGGCTAATGAAAGCAGACTTCTATTGAAACTGAAATGTATTCCCTACTTGGTGGCTGCTGGGTCCCCTTCTTCATCCACCTGATTCTTTATTTCTGAGAAAGCCTTTTGCACTACAATTTAGAGATATGGTAATTCACAGGCTACTTCTTTCATTAATCATTATCTGATTTCTCCTCACTTCCATACCAATTCCCTCATTTCAACTCATGACTCCACTACACACTGGTCCTCTTTCAAATATTTGTATATCTCATCCCATGTGAGTGCCTCTACATTAGCACAGTTATTAGCACAAAGGTTTGCATGAGTAATGAATGAGTAAATGTAGGTTTTAAACATTTTAATGGGAGACTATAGATATAAAAAAAACAGCAATGAATGTTTCAAGATTTATTTCTACTATCTTAGTTCATATGTAAAATGAATCTCTTTTTTAAAAAAAATTAATGCATGTTAGTATGATGTTTTCAAAGAAACCCTAAGATTTAATAGTTGTTTTTTTTTCCAAAACAACTTTTGTGTACTATTATTTATAATAGGTACTGGAAGTATAAAATTTTATGCACACTCATTTATTGTGTACAGTCACCAATGAACGGTCTCCCTCCTTTAATCTTGCCTATCATCCTTGCCTTTGACTTTATTTGACTCTTTTGTAGGTAAAAATATCTCAATCTTGCATTACATTCTTCCCACCATAAGAGTACATCTAGTCTTCTTTCTGTAAATGTGCTCTGTAAGTACCTTTTCATTTAGCACTGAATTTATGAAGGTAAATGTTATTAATTTAAATGTACAACATTGTGGATATCTTACAAAATGCCACTTGTTTTCACACAATATTCAACTCATTTCCATATATAATATTTCACATACTGTTTTTTTATTCTATCTCTTAACGACCTCATTATACCGATTCCAAAAATTAGATACTTAAGTAATCAGTAAACTTCTGGATTCCTATAAGCATCATATTTGGACTCTAAAGTACCTATTCTCAATAGATTTCTCATTACAGTATAATAGGAAAAAAAGAATACCCACAGTATAATAGGAAAAAAAGGATACATCATTGAAAAAAATTATCTTTATTGTTATCATGAAAAGTCATAGTGTTTTTGTGCAGATGTTCAGATTTCTAAGACAATAAAATTGTCATCCAATTCTCATCTCTACACCGAGAGAGTTTTTTTTTCCCCAGAGATAAAGTACAGAGGGAAGCAGTAGGAAAAGCTATCAGATTCATGTATAATCTGTGTTTTTCATTTTAACAGGATACTTCCATATTATTATCTTTGGTTTGCAGAGATCTTCCATATCACAAAATTCCAAGAATCACATACAGCATAAAAAAATGGTATCCCAGGGTCTGTGCCATGTTCTGAGTGATATTTTATAATGTGTCAATCATTTCAGTATGAACATATTTCTATGTGTTGTTTAAAGATGTTGACTCTAATGTACAATTATATAGTATATATTTATATAATGATATGTATATATTTTAAAGCATATTTAGTGTAATACTCTATTTTTAGTAAAACAAATGAAAGTGTTATATGTACAAAATTAGTATAAAAACTGCCCTATTAACTGGTTTCTTTCTCATGTTCAGAATTTTATAGACATGTCATGTTAGTGGGTATACAACGTTATTGGTGCTTGTGGTGGCTGGGATAAGCATCCTCCAAGGCCCATTTGCAAAGACTTGGTCTTCAGCCCATGGTGCTGTTGGTAGGTGCTGGATCCTTTAAGAGGTGAAGTTTATTTGGATGTTTTTCAGTAAGTGGAAGTACAATTGATGTGGACATTGGGACCCTAGTCCTTCTTCTTTCTTGCCTTTTTAGCTTCCCGGCTGCCAGGATGTGATCAGATTCCTCTGATTCTCATTTCCACCATAAAATATTGCCTCTCTAAAGGCCCCAAAGTAAAAAAGGAATAAAAACCCTCAAACCATGAGCCAAAGTTAAACTTTCCCCCTTAACATTAATAATATCAGTTATGTTATTACTATGACAACAAACAGAGTTACACAGCCATCTTCTGAGAATAAAGAATATAACATACTGGAATAAATGCTTTCTGACTTACAGATTCTTAGTTTGCAAATGTCAAGAAGAGATAAAATTTTGTCTAGAAATTTCTGGAACACATCTCTAGCCTTTCAGGGGAATAAATGAGAATGAAAGGGAATTTCCTTTTTCTTAATTAAATTCCTTGTCTTGGAAATATTTGAATATCCAGGGATCAAAAAACCATTCAGTATATTTCTTTTTGTTGATCCCCTTCATCTTACTGCAAACCTGGTAGTGGTCATTTTAATTGGTCTGGATTCCCAACTTCACACACTACTGTATCTTTTCTAAGCCACCATCTCCTCTCCTAATAGCAGCTAAACAACCATCGGAGCTAGGATACTGGTAGGCTCAATTGCCAAAACCTGGTCAACTCCATTCTTTGGCTGTGCTATGCAGTTCTTGATCCTTCTGTACAACAATGAACTATTATTTTTGTTTTTGTTTTCAAATATATTTAAACAGTGCAATGGGGTTTACATATAATAAAGTCATAATTCATAGAGGCAGAATGTGGCACCTGGAAAGGACATTGCAAATAATCTACATTAAGTCTCTTGTTAAGTACAAGAAGAGTAAAGTAGACTGTGTTTTAGGTGCATACCACTATGCTATCTCTTTTGCATTCTTATATTTAACTGTTATAGTATTAAGAATGAGCACAGAAACAATTCTACCATTAACCCTGTCAACATAATAACCAGTACTGTGTTTATTTCAACAATATTTGCCATCAGTCATCTGTTGACATGAAAGAAGGAGATGCTTTAGAGATATCAAAAGGAGTAGGGAAGGATGAAAATAGAAGCTAGACAGTTTGTAATAGATCCAAGTCTTTGGTGCTGCATTTCACAGCTCTATAGAATCCCAAAATAGAAGAGCAAATGGGGACCATCTGCCCAAAGTTATGTTTCACTAATTAAACCACTGATAACAATTTCAAATAATACATTTTCAACCTCTTAAATTTCAGGGAGATGAAGTTCACTATCAAACCTGTTTATGAGATTTTTTTTGTCATCCTTCATAAGGGTTTAATTTTTGTTGTTTTATTTCACAGCCACTTTATCTAACATATGAGCCAATATAAAGCTTGAATTACTAACAAAAGCGAACATCAGAGAGGGATATGAGTTAGTTGGGTGGAAAAATTTTACCCTAAGTTTACTGGGAAGTCACATTTATCCCTTTTGCCTAAACCTGAACATATTGCAATCATGCTTTCACCATTTTATTGTCCAGATTAAGCATTATAACAAAATACCACAAAAATGTTGGCTCGTAAATAACAAAAATTATTCTTTAGTGTTCTAGATGATAGAAATCTAACATTTAGACAATGTGAGAATCAGCATCTGGGGAGATTCCTTTTCTGATTCAGAGACAGGACTGTTTTTACTGCCCTCCCATGGCAGAAGTGTCTAAGGAGATCTCCAGATCTGTTTTATAATTACACTATTCCCATTGTGGAGTACCCTGCACTCCTGAATTTATCACTCCCAGAAGGTAATAGTACTATCATTTGGGGAGTTAGGGTAGAAAACCATAGGGGAAAGAAAAAGAACTATAGCCATGCACAGAAGACACAATTTCAAAACCACAATCAGGAGTTAATTCAGAAATTATTATATAGGTGGAAACACATAAGGCTTTGTAATGAAACAAGAATCCTTATAGGTATTTTCCTTCATGATATCTTCTCCTGCCTTGTGAGTGTACTCATATTACCTAGGAAGCAGAAGCACATATGGGCTTCAACAAGATTCAGAAATACTTAATACAGAGATGATTTACACTGGCAGGTCTAAAACCTGAGTTAAGCATTGGTTTTAGCAGCCTTAGTTGTAATGAATAACTAAATATATCCTTGTTTGTTTTCTGAACCTTCAAATAATGATCTTGTTCATGTTGGCCATCAATCTCATTATTGTAAGGTGTTGCTTTACACAAATATATCACTTATATACATAACCC